ACTTAAAGAAGTATCAAAGTGCCATAACTGTGTAGTATGAAAGAGTTCTTGATATCTTCATATGTTACTATGATTTTCCTATGATGGAAACATTTCTTGGAGGTGGATATTGGAGCTTGTGGCCACTGAAAAGAGTTGCATTTTTAATATCTTGCTTTCTGCTGCTTCCTCTCTAGCCCGACTGGTGCTGTGAAACTCAAAAGAGGCTGAGGCTGCTGCTGTCACTGGGTTGCCTTGGAAGATCCTGCACCCAACCCCTTCACCTTCCTGTTGCCAATGAACTCAATGAACCCAATGAAACCATCGCTCCCACCCACCCCACATGGGTGAGTATGGTTGAGTTAGCCTTCTCTTGCAATACTTCCACTACAGACAATCTATATTTGTGTACACACTCCCCTCTCTGTTTTACTCTTGGGAATAGATTGGAATAGAATAGATTGTCTTGTGCAATTCTGCAGAGGAATTCTGCAACACTAGTGCCCAATTCTGCTTCCTAATATGACAGGTTTCACTGCAAGGTTTCTAGCCCTCATGTTTGTAAAGGAACTTGAAAATGGGCAGGTGTGGATATACTACATAACATAGTGGTAGAGCTCTTTTTTTGCATCAGAGGTGGAGAAAGTGTGGCCCGTAAAGCCTGCTGCCAGTCTCTCAAAGCCAACTTTCATTAAAAAAAAAAAAACAATGTGATTTTTGAATGAAAAACCCCGAAGCTTCCCAAATGTGTAAAAAAAGGATCCCTCCCCAAACTCCCCAGAAACTTCACTTCCTAAATACCTTCTTTCCAGGAGGGTAACAAGAAGTAAGACCATGTTGCTTCTAGTCACCATTTTGTCAGAAAACAGAGGAAACGTAAGCATTTGGGTGCACTCAGGCAGTGGTGCGGCCCATAACAGGGCAAGGATAGTGAGCAGGGAAATTGGCCTCCAGCCTTCATATAATAGCCCACCCCAGCTTTACTTGAAGGCAGTCCCCACTTGACATCTCCAGTTGAAAGGATCAGGGTCTTTCATCCTCCACAATGACAGCACTGCCAGTTCACTTTAAGTGCCCAGCTTCCATCCTGTGAAAATCTGAGATTTGCACTTTAAGGGAGGTTATTTAGAATTCTCAGCCAGCAACCTCTAGTACCCCATCAAACTACATATCCCAGAATCCACAGGATGCGGTCATGGCAGTTAAAGCGGAATTGAAGTGCTATAACTGTGTAATATGAAATAGTCCTTGGTCAGATACTGAAGCGTTGGAAATTTCCTGCAAGTCATTATAAATGATATTGGGCTGGCTCACCAGTGGGCCACATGCACCCCACTTCCCCTACCAAGCAGTTTTTGGTTAACACCTGGGGAAGCACACCCTAAGAAGGGCAACTCTCCTTTATACATGGATACAGGGCCTCCAAATGCCTTATTTTGAAGGTCAGGGAGTTTTTAAAAAGGGAGGGGAGGGTTTGAAACTGGAAGTTAACTTTCACACTTCTGGTTTTGACATGAGAGGGTGGTGAAGCTGCCCACAGTGGATCTGGGAGATAGAAAATTAGCTGCCAGCCCCAATTGCTGTCTCTTTGGCTAGATGAACACATCATCTGACCTGATGGTATAAGACAGTGTCCTTAATGCTTATGCCCAGTGCATAAGGTGGTGTCCCTAGTGCTTGAAGTAACTCCAAAGTCACAGGAGCCTTGCAGTGGTCTGAGAAGGCAAAGTTTAGAAAGACCACAAGTGGCTGGGGGAATTGTAGCCCCTCCGCCAAAAGTAATTTATACAGGCTCTTGCAGAAGGCTTTTGTGTCAGGGTAATAACAGGGTCCTCCCTCTGTTTGCTATGTGAAAGCCATTGAGCTTCTCACCTCAACCTGACATTCTCCAGCTGTGTTGGAGTATGTTATTTGCTGGGGGATGATGGGAATGGTAGTTCAATATGACTGAAGGCACCACTGTGGGAAAGGGGATAAATTGCTTAAG